AAAATGTTAAATAAGTCGCCCAGTCAATGTTTTGTTCGGTTCACCCCCCTTTTGAACTTTAGCCCCTCCCATCCCTTTATCCCGTTCAATTTGATTGCAGTTCTCAACTTCAGCTCCGTTGATGACTTTGTTTTTGTCAACGTCATGACTGTCATGCAGAACGTGTTCCAGTTCATGTTCCCTTTTGCTCCACTCATGTTGTGTAACAGATTTTCCCTCTTTGAGGCGATATTTATTGTTTTCCAACTCGTAATACTTCGAGTGGAGCGGAAGTGCTCGGTTAAGATTGCTGCCAGCTGCTTATTGGCATTAAAGGCGGTCTGTTTGAGTTATGGCTCTGATGTGTGACTAAAGGTGCTTGGCTGCACATTAACTTAAAATCTATGGCAGCTTGGCTGCACAGTGAAAACTTTGGTGTCAATATAGGCAAACCTTAGGTAGAAAATAGTATCAATGGTATCTCAAACCAATTATAAATAAATAAAAATAATTTTAGTTTACATTTTATACAAATAATAATCTGTAATAATAAAATTAAAATAATATATTATTATGATATGTTATTATTATACCTATTGATTTAGAAAAATTAAAAAATTATTTAATAAAATAATCAAGCTAGCTGTATAAATAGAGAATAAAAAGTTCAAGGTCAACTAAAAAACGTTTCTGCATATTAATAAATAATATAAATATTGATAAAACACAATAAAATAATGCGCCAGTACAAATTGGCATGCTGATATGGTAGCGATAAAGTCCACTTTGATATGACAGAATATAAAACTGATAAAAAATTTTGATGATATATATTTCCCTGTTCCGACGACTGTCACAAATGTTATGTTCTCAAAAGGAATACACTGTATATGTAAAATAATCTCTGACCTCATTTTAATATGACCAAGGATTCAAAACAACATTTATCAGGCATCGTCTATTTTTGCATTTGCGGATATAACGGATATGCAAATAAGCGAAAAACAATCCATTAATCGAAGGCAATTAGAGTCTGCGGCAAATGTCACTTTGATGACCTCTGACCCACTTGGTCATATTAATCCGCATCCGGATTGCGGCAGCGGCAGTCGACAAGAAACACACAGAGAGCACACACAACACACAAAAAACGGCTCCACATTTCAATTTGATCACCCCGATGACCTCGCTTCGGTTGTGGGCGTGGCCGGGGGCGTGGCTGTTTGTGGTCATTGTTTGCCACATCGAAGGGTTAAAGGCCTTAAAGTCAACAGTCAAGGTCTTATCACTGGAGTGGAAGCGAAGGCCCGGCATTTTAAAGGACACATAGCATCCTTTTGTGACTGCTAAGCCTTACAAATTTGTTATTAAGATGTTTAACCCCCAAAAAAAACGCCTCAGATACAAAAAATAGCAATAAAAAATGGTCACAAATAAATGAGCAAATAAATAAGAAGTCAAGTCCTTTGTGACTCTGGCCACAGGATATCAGGATATGGTGACTCCAAGTATGAAGGCGAATCCCGCCCCCAGGTATGTTTTGTTGTCTGGTGCGTGATAAGCACTCGAGAATGCCGCTGCCGGGCAAGCAATTTAAGCAATGGAAGGACTCCCTTCACTCAGATACACACTCACTCCCGCACACTCGAGCAGTTTGTCAGTGTCCTGCGGAGCACACACATATCGCCAAAAACTAATTTCATCAAATGCAAGTTAGGGGTCACAATAAATTGAATGTTGATGGAAAGCAAATCAGGGCGAAATGGAAGCCAAAATGATTTACCTGAAACATTGAATAATGGGGTTTTTGTTTATTTACGTTTTGGGTAAATCATGATGGGAAACCCATTTCTATTTAATTTGTATTGATTCAGGTAAGAAAATAAATTTATTTAAATACCTACTACATTTTTACCATACTATATTTTCAAGCAAAAAAATCTGTAAATATTATTTTAAATTTTATCATAAAAATATTGATAGATATTTTCTCTTTTTTTCCTTGGCTTATTGATTTTATTAAAATTTCGTGTTCACCTTATTGTTTAGGTGTCTTTATCAATTTATGCGCTTACCATCTCTGGTCATTCCTTTTTTTTTCGTGGGATAACCATCTGTGACCAATCCACGCAATGCGAATGTAGGATACATCCACAAACGTTTCCACTTGCACGCATACATAATTAAATCAAATATACACAGACGCCCACGCAGGTAGAAATACTGGCGGCACATATGTTACGCATACGCAGCGTGGAGCACTTAAAAATGCTGGTCACTGTATATATGGTACACAATTGCGTGGCTAAACCATAAATCACAATGCCTGCACAACGCCAACACCTGCCAACTGAGAAGGGGAGAGGGGGGAGCCCGTTTAAAACGATTGAAATCGGGAGGAATGGTATATAGAATTTAGCCATCGGCGGAGGGAGGAGGAGCCCTTGAGCAAATGCACTAATTTCCACCTTTGGCATGCATATTGATATATCAACTGAAAACTATCTGCGGCGAGGACACTGTTTGTTGTTGTTCGCCCTTAGCAGCGTCATTAGCATCAAAGTAAATTTACGTTTATAAATTAGCCCAAGGGCGAAACGAGAACTGAATGGCGGCCATAATTCAGCTAAATTATATATGAGCCCAGGCAGAGATATAGAGACAATAAGTGAGATGGGGTGGGAATGGGGAAAGCAGGCAGAGAAGCCGGGGAAAGACCTGATGTATGCAAAATACTTTACCGTAATTCCTTGCCTCTCGCTGCACTAAAATAAAAATATATTCCAGCCTTCAAACTACTGTTTCAGTACTGCGATTTATAAAATGAATTTTTCTTCGTTATTATTTTGGGATATCATTTTATTTTAAGAACTTATTTATTTTTAAAATGTTTTAAATGTAGTCATCCCTTGTATATACAAAATAAAAAGTTTTTATTTCGAAACTTTTTGTAAACAAAATTGAAATAAATAAGCAGAACTTGAGGATATCATGACCAAACAAAAATTCCAATCGATTCTCTAATATAACTGAAGCAAATGTTCAATCTATTTTATAATTAGAACGCGAGTGGCTAAGATAAGCGATACATATAAATGGTCAAAATAAATAACGAATGATAGCAAAGAAACTGTATATGTATAAATTAAATTCATGAGATGGTATCCGCAGTATTATTATTATAAAGCATGGTAACAGCTCACAACTTTTGAGCAGCTATTCGAAACACCCTCCCATCAAGCAGTCGTGGCCGAGCGGTTAAGGCGTCTGACTAGAAATCAGATTCCCTCTGGGAGCGTAGGTTCGAATCCTACCGGCTGCGGTTCGAAAGAAATTTTTTTATTTTTATTTTCTTTTTTTTTAAGTTTTTAGAAAAATTTGTTTAAGTAAGATTTTTAATAATATGTACTTAATATAATAAAGCAGAAGTAAATTCACAACAACTTTTTTGGGTAAGTGGAATGTTTTGTAAAATTGATAAATGCTTTTCTGAGTGTACCTAGCTAGTTTGTTCGTTGGCACAACTTATGCAAATTGCGACTCTTTGGTCTTTGTCAAGCTAAGAAGTTGCATACCAGCGACTTGCTTTCTAGAGCTCATCGTTTCCCCCTTAGATGGACTATATAATATATATGTATATAGCCAACATAGGAAAATTGCATGTTTCACTGCAATGAAAACAAATCGCAAAATTACCATAATCAAAGCATAAAAGGGATTTCAGTTTTATTCTTAGTCACCCGCACAGCTTCCTCTTCGCAGCCTGTTGCCAGCTCTGAATTTCCTTTCCGACCAAGACAAAAGAAACGAACCTCTTTTCCTCTTTGGTACTTTCTTTTTTTTTTTGTTTTTTAAAAGTTGTCGACCAAGTTTGTTCAACGAAATATTTTAAAGTAATTGGCCTCGTTTGTTGGCTGCCCGGGATGCGAGCTGCGAGAGCAAATTGAATTTCGAAATAGATCTATTTGAGTTTGGTAATTGGTGCGGGGCTCTCCTACGAATTGTTTTTGACAAGTTTCAGCTTGTACTTTATTGTGGTCCTTCGTCCTCGCGCTCCAAAGAATAGGAGTGTAATTGAGACAAGGCGCCGCATTGAAGTGTCAGAAATAAAAGACAAGGAGTACAAAAAAAATTGTAGTTTTTTTGCCCTTCGTGTTAAAATAGTTTTCAAAGTTCAGGAAAAAAATAAATTAGCGCATCGAAAAAATGTATAAACTAAAGTATAGAAAATATTAAAAAATCCTAATTAGTTTACCTGGTGAAAACTAGAAATGCTTAAATGACTGTGTGGAATGAGCTTTAGCATATTGACCAATGAAAAGTTAATAAAGGGGTGTGGCCAAAGTTGATTGGCCAAACGGGTTGGGCCAATAAGGAGGGATCAAAACTTAAATACGTTAATAAACATTGGCCGTTGGTGCAGGGCCAAATAATTTTAATAACAACATTTTAGTATTGCTAAAGTGATTGTTTACAAAGATCGTAATATTATATTTTGTATCTTTTTCTTATGCTAATGGCATAAGTGACTAGAAGTATAAATTATGAATAATACGGAGCCATTCCTAATCATTGGGTAAAAGCCTTATCGAGCACTAAGGTTAATGCGATCAAGCCTACGAATCGGTGGCCTCCACGGACTTGTACACCCACCTCGCTGATAAAAAATTCCCCTGCGGTTCATTGGTCTCCTATAATAACGCTCGACTCGTGGGAGTGATCAGCTTGGCTTCCGTCAACTGAAGCAGTGATCCCGTTGGGATACCCCCGTATATCCCGTTGGGATACATATATTGCTAAACACACAGAATAACGATATCTAAAAATGATTCTATTCCAAAAGCTCTCATCAAAAGCTTTTGCGTTATATTTGTCTCGAATGGTTTTTGACTTAGCTAAGCGTCAACTTTTAAGATATTTAAATCCAACTAATATTCAATGTATTATTTATTTAAAAATAATAATATAAAATAATTTGTAAACCAAAATTACAATTATTAAACACAATTTTGTTTGATTTGTTTGTTTTCTTTATTTCTCTTTTATAAAGTTACTAAAGTACAAAAATTGGCTGCTAAAAAATAGATTTACAATTTGGTTGCTAATTTACAAGAGGCCTAGGGGAAATTAAAAGTTCACATCAACTGGAAGACACGCAAGTTGGGACACGCACATAAGTACAGTACACACTAAAAGACTATGGACGTAAGATAAGATGGTACCAGCTAGGAACACACAAATTATACGAGACAAGACGAGAGACACACTAAATACAGAATTCCAGTTTTTCAAATGGATGGAGGTGGGTTTTGTGGGTACACAAATTCGATTGGGTATTCTACGGGTTAAAATAAAAGAATTCTCCTCTTCCTCTTCAGCTACCACGCCCACTTGGGGGAGACCTTGTCAAAGTTCCACTCATCAGGATGTCCCTCGTGGCCGCCGCCCTCCTCCACGGGACTCATGCTGGACCACCTGAAGGGTCCGCTGCCGATCTTTCGCATGGCAATGGCCCTCATATCATTTCGCACCGGTCGCCGTTCCGTAATGAGTTCCATTTCGGCCAGGCGACTGCTATCCGCATCCTCGATGCTCACACTGAGTCTTTCGTCGACCAGGGAGGAGGGTTGAATACCATTCTGACCACTATTTTCGCCCCCATCCTCAGCTGCTCTGGGCTGAACATGTTGGAAACGTAAGAAGACGGGCCCGGCGAAGGCATGAAAATCGGTGATACCCAATCTCGCATTGTAGGAGAACAATTTGAGATCTATGTTGCCATAGGCAATCGACTCCTGGCTGCCCAGCAGATCGCCACGGAAGCCATGGGTGCGTAGATATTTATCAACGGCTGCCAGACTGGTCAGCTCCTCCTCATCCGAAGAGGAGAGCTGTTGTTGATCCTCGCTGGTGCTCACACCACTCGATTCCAGCACCTTCTTGAAGTAGGGCACCCCGTTGGCCAGCCACGATGAGTTGCCCGGCACCAGAAACTCCTGCGTCACATCCTTTATGGCCATCGTTCCCGGGAGTTGCTCCGCAATCCACACCATATCCTTCAGCTGATCGTGACGCTGTTGAATCGCCGTCCTATCCTTCTCATTCACCGTCACTGCAGCATCGTCATGCTTGTCATCGGTCTCGAGAACATTGTACAGATTATCCTGCACCTTCATCTTGTTCAGATCCACGGTGATCCACTGCTTGGCTCCGGTTAACGAATGCCTGGTCATTGCAGCGGCCCAGGTTTGTCGGTTCTGGGATATCCTATTGGCAGCCATCACACGACCCACCAGAGGAACCATCTGCTTGAGATCCACCGACTTCCACAGCTGCAGATTCTCGTTCTTGATGCCAACGCCGCCGACAATGGCGTGCAGATGACGACCCTTGATGGTGTAGAAATCATCGGTGGAGCCGAGAATTCCGGGATAACCCGTGAAGGTTATATCCACTCCAGGCACCGTGTTGCTCCTTAGCTTCGGCGAGAAGTGGTAGTGAAACTTGTAGCGCTTCTGGATCCTCAACATCGAGGAGTAGCTACCCGCGGTAGAATGACCAAAGAGAAGTTGCAGTGCCTGTGGCGACTCCTCCTGCTGCACGATCTTCGTTAGCATGGAGGCACTTGGGAGGAAGAAGTTCTTTGGCTGATCGGTGCCAGATTCCTCAGCATGTTCCGTATTATTCGGCAGCACATAGTTCTCGTAGTAAATCTTTAGATCCTGGATATCAGCCGCTGCGTTCATTAGCAGGAAATCGGAGAAGGGTATCTCCTCCTCCAAATCGGAACGAGCTCGAGATGCCCCACGTTTGTAGCCTGTCTCCAGGCCCTCCAACTGGGTGATGAACAGATGCAATTGATGCCAATAGTGATCGTTTTCAGCCTTCACAGTCTGCCGCTTCAAGCGATCGTAGTTGGAGGTGAGGAGTTCCCTCAGCCAGTGACAGAATTTCTTGGTGCCTTCGTCCCGCTCGCAGGAAGACGAAATTGTACTAAAAAAGGGGAAAATTCTATAAGTTTCATTAAGTTTTTAAATGAATTTTATAACCCTACTTGGACCACTGATTGTAGATGTTCCTCCAGGTCAGCGAACCCTCCAGCATTCCAGCTGCATAGGCCTGCACCCAATCTGGGTAGGTTCGTTGGGTCTCCACCTCGATTTGAGCCCATCTGGAAAATATTATAACAGAATAAATTATAATCGAATTCTTATAATAAAAGATTTTTTGTTTATTTTTCTTTAGTTTAATAATACTTTAATCAATTCTTTTAAAGCGAAAATCGATGTTATCAATTTTTATTTATAACTATTTTTTTTATAACTAAGCAATTTTTTATATTCTTACAATATTCTAAATCCTACAATCTAAAAATACTAATCGCAATTTTGTAAAACCAAATAAAAAGGATATCAATTTTGTAACACTTTTGAATTTCTCATTCTTTAAGATAAATATATTGATCAAGAAAAATAATGATGATAAAATCCTATGTAAAATACCTCAAGAATAAGTAACACTCACCCATTCTCATAAACCGAATCCTTGTAGCAAATCCTGCCCACGCCGGTGGGAATGTTGACCAGATCGTTCTGCTGCTTCCAGTTTTCGATTTGGAAGCCCACCTGCTTGGTCCACAGGGCGGTGGCACAGTAGGTGCCATCGTACTCCGGGCGTTCCATATAACCAATGAAGAAGGCTCCGATGACCAAGAGACCAGCACCGATTAGGATGTAGGTCCCTATCCGCGTTTTTTGCCACGATGCACCAACGACTTTCAACATTGTGCCGGCCGTCTTGAAGCTGCGACGATTCGAAGAAATAAGTTGGCTCCCAGAAAAGTCAATCCCAAGAACCACTAGTATTCCGAATATTCAATGGATTTCCCTGAAGATTTCAATGGGTTCGAAAGATTAACCCAGATAATTGTGATCGGCACGGGCTGCGTAGGAGTGTCCAAGGCGGTGGGCAATCAGGTGGCCAGTGTGCAGGTGGTTCTGTGGATGGATGGTGAAGGTGCTGGAGGAGCAGGAGGTGCTGATCTCGGTGGCCACGCTGTTGAGCGCCTTGGCCGAGTGGTTCATGGGTGGTGCGCTGCTTTCAAGCAGAGATTCCAACGGTTTCCAGGTGTTTATATTCTGTACGTGACTATTGACTTTAAATGGTTTCGGTGGTGGGTTTAGTGGATTTTGGCTATGTCTTTTGAGGTTCAAGTTGTATCCCTGGAAAATAAAAAATATAATAGAAAGATTACAGGAAATCTTTATTCTTAGAAATTTTTAATTTATGTAAGTATTTTGTAACCAATAAAAATAAAATCGCATTAAAGAAAACAGATTTCTAATAAAACCCGATCATATATCAAGTGATATGACGTCTGGATGGAATATTTATTTATGCCATAGAACAGCCATTCATCAGTGTAAATATTTACTCAATAACTAACAACAATAAACATTCAAAGATTTCTGTTTTTGATTGCCTATATTACTGCATGCTCATTAAATATTATAACCTATACCGGAATCTTCCCAATGATCCGCCCTTGAACCATTTCCAATATTTACACACTTTCCCTCGAGATTCAAATCCCAACAATCCAAATGTTTATCTCACACTTTCGCTACTTTTGGCAGAGGAGGAAATTCCTTTTTTGCAAATCCCGCTGGAGTGGTAAACAAATTTAAGCATTTGTAAAACTAATAAATTAATTTTATGGCTCGAATAGTACTTGAGAGCCCGGAATTACTTTATGGCCAAAACAGCAGCAGCAGCTGGGCGAAATGGTAAGAGTGTGCTAAAAAAGATAAGCAGGTGTGCTCACCTGTTCTACAGATCTATATAATTAAATAATCCCCAAGATCGTAATGGAATTTGTGGAAGGTAGAAACAGCGGAAAACTTTCAATCAGTTTATTTAGCTTGTCTTTCGGGGGTTTGTCCTTAGTTAATTAATAAACAACAATTATGATTACAAAAACCAAATTGCTTGTGCTTCTATAAATATTACAATTTCAAAGCCAATGCCAGCTTGTTGAAGATCTTGCACAATCTCTAATGTAAATTGAAAAATCTATTCGAAAATTCCAATTTAAAAACCTGTACTAGTCGGTGGGGTAAACAATATAATTGTGTACATTTGGCACGTGGGGGATTCTAAATTCCAAATCGTATCAAAAGTATCAGAAAATTGTGTTTTCTTTGCGAATTTTTTGAACAAATCTGGTTGGAATTAACATCAATCAGTCAGCTGGCTAATACAATTAAACATTTATATTGAATGTGTTTTCCTAGATTGTTTTCTGCGATTGTAATTTAATGTATCTTATAATTCTCTGGTTTTTCATAGATATTCAGAAAGGCAAATATTTATTAGACTTGCATTTACAACCATTTTATTAGTTTAAACAGGTGTATAAATCTTACCTTTTGTTTCCCGGGTCCAGGAAGCTGCAATATCACAAGTCAACCCATTTGAAGAACTGCAAGAAATGGAAATAGATTTTTTGTTTAGTTTGATTTTGGATTATGTTGATTATAATTAAAAGGCGCCTCTAGCTTAAGCATTTCCCCCGACATTCGGTCAACGTTTTATTAATTCGTATCTTTGTTTATTTATTCAATTGGTCGCACGTCTCGTGATTTGTCTGATTTCTGCCGCCTTAGAGAAAAGGAGTCTGGAGTGTCTTTGTTTACTTTGGACTCGATTGGACATCGCTGAGCAGGCGCACGCGCTTATTATTGTTGGCTTATTTGTCATAAAATGTTGATCATGGCAATTACTGGATATACGATATGATATATGATCGCTAATTGGACTGGTGGTCTTTGTTGAAGTAGGGGAAGGTCGTAATTGAGTTCTTAGAAATCCCACTGGGGGTTTACATTGACCTATCAATAACTTTTTCCACATTCTAATGATCCTATCCCTAATAACTCATAGTACGTTAAGTACTTCAATTGCGATTAATAATCTTAAGACCGGGCTTTTTTTGTTCTGACAAAGCACTCAATTGATATGAGTTATGAGGAGTTATGACTTTCAGTCGTTAAAATAAATGAGTGGTAGAAAATGTTATTATTCAGTAACAGTTCGTAAAATTTCCACAGTTAGGTCATTTAACTGAAATGACAGTTTGATAACCTGACAGCTAATATGTGTTTTTCAACCACTTTAATAACCTGGTAACTGCATATTTTTTGCATTGCTAATTTTAACTTATTTTAATAGCCCTTTTAACTTTTTCAAATCAATCTTAATCACCTGTTTAGAAAGCTCTAAATGGAGTAACGCTTTTGCAACTGTGACTAATCGGTGGGCGTGATTTCAACGAATTCAAGGCCCCAGCGTAAACAATTGATTTGCAAAAATTAAAGAAGAAATCTAAAGTAGCAACGGAAATTGTTTCATTTCACTCATTTCCATTTCAGATTGCTGTGAAAATAAACAGCAGTCAGTTGGCTAAAGTGAAAAGACATCAATCGTGGAAATCAATGAAATAAGTTTATATTTTTAAACATATTTAAGGTAATCCATAACAGAACTTAATTGACTTGCGCCCACGGAAGGCCGCAGCCCTCAATCGGGATGTCAATATGTAGGATATAGACAAATCTGACAAGTTCGAGGTAAACTTCAACTGACGTAGGGAAAATTAGCGCCAGGCTGGAAAGCTAAAAACAAACTTAGGATCTAAAATAGCACAGAGAGAATAAAATATTCCCACTGACGTCTTTGCAGCTCATTTAACTCACTTAACTCGATTAACGCTTTTATCATTATCGCCGTGCAAACACAGTTGTTTTGTTTTTAGATACTTATATATGTATCCATATAAAATCCGCTTTATATGCGCTACTGAGCTAGATAGTGACAATGTTTTCATAGCCCTGACAAAATTATAGCATGCATTTACAACCGTTTGTCAGTTGATCAATCAAAATTTAGCCGGTGGTAAATAATTTACACATGCCAGACCCGAATCGGTATTAACTTTTGCTGTCGTCGAGTGAAAAAATATTGATAAGATTGTCAGCATATTTATTAGTTCAACATTTAGATATGCATGTCTAGCTTTTGGCATATTAAGAACGTAAGTTCAATCAACGGAATTCTATTTAGTTCACTCAGATAAGTTAAGATTAAAGCATAGTCTAGCCACAGGGAATTTTTTCCAACTATAAAGGAAATTTACTGGGGAAAGTACTAAATGAACTGATCATGATATTAGCTCTTAAATATTGATGGTGCTAATTTCAATGGTCAACATTTGTTTCCGGTTAGAAAACATTATTAAAAACCCACACGATTTAAGAATTTATGAACTGGATAAACACATAAAATCAACCCACAACTATAATATTTGGGTAAAATCCCCAATTTTTCCACAACTCATAAAAAATCATTTTTCCATAACTCTTAAACGGTGTATATGGTATATTCCATTATTTGCTTGATTAATAATGATTTTCCATTGGAAACGGAAACTTTTGATGGCTGGCCATTATTTCTATTGTTCGATCATGCAAAATACTCAGACTAAGTAAACACTTGAGGATCCACATACTTGGAATACATTTTTTGCTGCCTACAATAAATAATTCCTCAACAAATTCATAATCTTTCTTAGAATTCCGAACGCCGCATGTGGCATTAAGTTTTTAGATCGCCAAACGTGCCACGTGAGTTATCCAGGAAATAAGTGAATTATAAAGCGGTTGGGTTACAAAGTTTATTCACTCTCCCCCATGGATTGTGGGAATCGCTCAATGAATGCCCACGAATCGACAACGCTGCATAATTATTTCGGACGGGTGTTCGCTTTCCATGGCTTTTCATTCGATTGAGGTAACGCGCAAAACTGCTAACTTGGCCGATGCCACGCGCCGCTTATCCAGTTGACAACGCCGCCGATTTTGATAAGCTCCATGTCCGAGTCGGAAAAAAGGGGTCTGGAGTGAGGAGTGCCATGTAAACTGATGCCCGGGCAACTAAGTTGGAAGTCAGCAAAGCAAATGCGCCTGCTTTTCTGTAATGCCAGACAGCGCCGCACTGCGGAAAGGCGTACACTGAGCGCAAAAGTAGTTAATAAAAATTAAGGAATAATTTTAAACTTGTAAACTTCACAACAAAATATTTTAGGTTTTTTTTCAAAGCATTATTTGATCATATTTCCCTAAAATAATTTTCTGACTATGAATTTCGGCTTATATGCTTTTCAACCAAACATTAAAAATATTTTTTGAAAACATATTTAATCATATTTCCTTAAAATAAGTTTCAAAATGGTAATTTAAACGTATAAACATCACAAAAAAATATTTGAAAATCTTTTCTTAAAGCAATATTTGATCATATTTCCCTGAAATCATTTCCTAAGTATTATAATCCATTTTAGCTTACATCCTTAGCTTTTTAATAGCAGTGCAGTTACTTTATCTTTTGTGGGGATTGCACATTTTCGGATCGGAGCCCTTGTCGAGTGTTTAGACTACTGACAGACAGACAAAACACTAAGCGCCGCGTCGCGACGTCTGAGACTTGGGGGATCTGGAGATCCGGACAGAAATTCTATTACCCACACGTGGACGGGACAGGTTATTCAATTTGAGAATGGGTTGGAATTTATTGGTAACGTCTGAAGTGCGATGAACGAGTTGTAAATACCCTTTTTAAGCTACCGAGTTCACTCATCCCATCTCAGCTGATCCAACACGCTCCAATCGAATGATAATCGAGATGCTAACAACTCATCCAACTGATTGCAACTGAGTTGTGAATGATGATACGTTCAGTCTGCTGATTTAATCAGATTAAATATGGCAACAAATGTGTATATAGATTTGATTAGCTAGGGGCTTGTGCGGGAAATTCTTAATTAGTATATGCTAATGGGAAGGGAATGGAATCGGCATAGAATAGAATGTTCATAATTTGCGATCGCTTTGAATATGAATCGCATATGAATAAGCTGCTATATTAAATACGATTTCATTGTCCCCGTGATTTTCTTTTCACTTTTAATTCCCAGGCGAAACGATTTATCGAACCCATGATATAAGCAAATGATATAACTTCCTGTGAATATTACGAACTTTTGAATGGTTTACTTTACGTGAGATAGTCATTATTTGGTTGTATAATTTTGTAAACTTTTTAGGGGAGTTTTTTAGAATTTGGT